GAGGAGGAGGGGGAGGAGGAGGAGGATGGAAGTGGTGGTGCAGAAGGAGTGTCAGAGTTATTCGGCGGCTGAGAGGACGAGGATGACGCGGGCGGGGGGATGAAGTTTGGTGCAGTTCGAGAGGTACAGTTGATCCGAAGATGTCCAACAAGGCCGATTCGAGCCCGGAATGTCCGCTTACATCGAGGACACGTTAGAAGCAGTTGTGCGGCAGCGTTGCTGACTGGGCGCAGTTGGTATTTGCGGGCTTCGCGTTTCGCATTGGCGGCGGCGATGCGGTTGGCTTCGTGGATAGCAGCGCCCGTCTTCACTGTTCTCCTCCATGCCGGACGATCGCAGGCGAGCTATTCCCAGTTGGTCGGGTTGATTTGCAGTAGCTTCAGGGAGGACTTCAGGGTATCCTTGTATCGACGAATTGGGCCTCCTTGACGACGAGAACCCGTCGCGACGTCTGACAATATCGACTTTGTGAATTGCCTCCCCACGTTGGGTCAGAGTGACCATGTAGTTCTCATGTGGGAATACACCTTATTCTCCCTGCCTGCACAACCGCTCGATTCCCGACCCAATATTTGGCGCGGAGATTTCGAACAAATGAGAAGGGATCTTAGTCCTATCGACTGGGCATCCACTCTCTCCGGCGATGTCGAAGAGGTTTGGTGTCAGTTCAAAGAGTTAGTCCACAACCTCACCTCCAACCATTGCCCAATCATGCGCAGAAGACTAACAAATAGACCCCGTTGGCTGAAGCCGTCCTTAAAGAAGGAAGTTAACAAGAAGAGGAAGCTGTGGAAAAGATCCCTGACTGGCCGGACGCCAGAATCCCTAAGCAATTATAAGTTACAGAGAAATCGGGTCAAAATTCTCATCGCCAGAGATCGGAAAGCCTTTGAAAAGGATCTTCTGAACCGTGCCAGGGTTAATCCCAAAGTCCTCTACAGCTACATAAGACAGAGCACGCGGAACAAAGACCCCATCCCACCGCTGCGAACAGCCGAGGAAATGGAAATCTCCGATGACAAGGATAAGGCTGAACACCTCTCTCAGTTCTTCTGGTCCGTCGTGATAAGTGAACCTGATTTTTTCTCCCCCATTTGTGAAGACGACGAAACGCCTACCCTCGAAGCCGTATTCTTCACCGAAGCAATTGTTCGGAATGAGTTACTAAACCTAAAAGAATCGACATCCCCAGGCCCTGATGCAATTCCCGCCAAGCTGCTGAAGGTGCTAGCTCCTGAAATGTCCAAGCCATTAGCCTTGATCTTCCAAACGTCAATTCTTACTGGATGCCTGCCCTCTGACTGGAAGTCCGCTACCATCACTCCGCTTTTTAAGAGCGAAGTCGTGCGCCTGTGAATAACTACAGGCCAGTGAGTCTTATCTCCATCTGTTGCAAAATCATGGAGAAGATCATTAAGAAGGCCTTGATGCAGTTTCTCGAGCAGCACCACCTCTTCTCGGATGCACAACACGGCTTTCGAAGTGATAGGTCCTGCCTCACGAATCTGCTCTTTACGCTCGAACGCTGGACCAAAGCACGTGATGAAGGCAATGTGGTGCACGCCATCTACATCGACTTCGAAAAGGCTTTCGACAGCGTTCCTCACCAACGTCTCTTATACAAACTACGTAACGCTGGAATTCGTGGACGCCTTCTTGTATGGATCCAGAGATTTTTGGCTGGACGGTCCCAAAGAGTGCAGGTCGGGCGTCAACAGTCCTCAGAGGTAAGCGTGGTGAGTGGCGTCCCACAGGACTCAGTCTTAGGTCCCACGTTATTCCTCGTTTTCATACATGACTGCGTCAAGGACTTAGACTGTGATGCCATCCTGTTTGCCGACGACATAAAATTGTGGAAAGTTATTCACAATGCGGCAGACGCAGACCACCTGCAAGCAAACTTGAACAGGTTCGAAGACTGGTCGAAGCGCTGGCTTATGCCCTTCAATATAAGCAAGTGCAACTTTCTTCAACTAGGCAGCTTCAGAGCCTCCAGTCCCAGGACCTACTTTCTACACGGCACACCACTGCAACAGGTTGACAGTCAGAAGGACTTGGGTGTATGGATTACATCTTCACTCAAACCAACACTGCACTGCGCGAAGGCGGCTAAATCGGCTATGGCTTCACTGCAACTCATTAAGCGAGCATTTATGGTATTTGACCCTGACTGTTTTTCCAAAATATTTGGCACCTTCGTGCGACCTCATCTAGAATACGCCATACAGGCGTGGAGACCTTGGACTGTCAAGGACTATACCGTTTTGTAGGAGGTCCAGAGACGGGCGACCAAAATGACACAAGGTCTGGGAGCGCTGTCTTACGAATCGCGACTGTCAACTCTCAACCTGTTTCCACTTTCCTACAGGCAATTACGTGGTGAACTTATACTTGCATTTCGCATTATCAACGGCCTAGACTGTTGTTTAGATCTCACTAATTATTTCACTCAAGTTAACACGCCCACTTTGCGCGGTCATCCCCTAAAACTACGCGCCGGGAAAGCAAGGATCAATGGAAGAAAGTGGTTGCAGCGTGGAATGCCCTGCCTACCGATGTTGTAACCTCATCCTGTGTGATTTCCTTTAAGTTTAGACTTGACGCGCATCAAGCCTCCCAGTTACCAGCCTTAAATCTACTCACATAACCCGGCACCAACTTAAACTTGTTTATACTACTTTAACTAGTTAGTAATCGTTATTGATTACTCTTTTTGACTAACTGTCAGCGATTATGTACAAAACCCCTTTTTCACCTTCCCATTATCAATGTTTTTCTCCGACGACTTGTAAACAATAGGGAGTTCAAAGGCTCTCGCCTATATTTCCCTTAATAAACTGAAACTGAAACAGAATTTCGGCTAACATTTCACGAGATCGATCACTCACTGTACGTTACAACGCACCATCCCCTCATTCGTGTCCGCGTCTGAATCTGACTGATTATTGTTTTGCTCTCGGTGAACTTATGCCATTTCCCTACCGTATTACATTAACGGTTTTAGACGCTTAAAATTAAGGCTTAACTTTAGGACAACATGGCTAATAAACCCTTAGTTATTGTCTTGATATCCCTGAATTTATTCATCAAGCAACTCGAACATACGTCAAAAGTTGGTAATAGAAGAACGATGATCGATCTTGCATGAACCACCGAAAAATCAAGCAATACCTTAAAGCTATAAGGGTAGTATATTGTTATAAGGGTAAGGAGTTTAGTTCTAAAAAATGAACTCAGGGTTTACCATAGTTCTATAAAGAGAAGCTTCAAATTAGAGTTTGACAGACATAGTTTTTTTAAACGCGTAGGGATAATAGATGTTGACAGTTCGGCCGTCCGTTTCCATCCCTAACAATGATACTTAACCCTAACCCTTAAACCCAACGAATACAGTATTTTGTCCATCAGGTGGGGCTACCAAACCACATCTTACCATTGCTCAAAAATTGATTAGTTACTGAAAAATTCAAGATAAGTGTGAATGGACACAATTCGTCGTTTTTGGATTCGTCGTTTATACAGTCTTCAAAATAAAATCAGGAAAATCAGACCTTAAAGCTCAGATTGATTCGTACTGCACGGCATATCTATCACTGCGTCGTAAGACAGTTTATGTCTTGCGTTATCAGGTTTCATGAGATTGGTCACGTATTGTACGATCCGAGTCTAAGATTATCACTGCTCGTCAAGCCCTGTGGTTTTGAAGCCTGCTGACCGACGCCCCAACTCAGTCCACGCACCCTGTTCAGTTGTGTGTGTGTGTGCGTATGAGTGGAGTGCCAGACTGGTGGGCTGAGCGCCAGTCCGGACGGTTTCTTCTTAACGTGACCTCTGGTACTCTCACACATGTGACATGCATGTCGCCAACTCCCGTTGTGTGAAATCCTGCTGATTATGTTTGGGGGTCAGGTCGTGCATGTGGCGCGCGCAGACAAGGTCACTAGACCATGTCAGCCACCGCGCCCATTCCCCGCACCAGACAAGTGACTGGCTCGGACAATGACTGGGGCCTGGAAATGGGAACAGAGACGATTCAGCGCATTTTCCCCACTCTGAACAATCTGACGTGCTTGAAGTTATCACAAAGGGCTAAAAGCCGCAGCTTGGGAGATTGCGAACTGACTTGGACTTTTCAGTAGGTTTAGTGTGCGTTTCCGTGCAATGGCTGACTGGTGATCTGAAAGTCAGGCTACAAGGGCTCCTTCTTAATGTGGCCTTTATGGCACTCCTACATCGTGGGGTCCGAGCTAGGTGCGATGGCACGCCTACGTGCGACTTCGGCCGCACCGTTAACCCTTTTTTTGTTGTTGTTGTTGGTCAAAAGCCTTGTCATTTGCTGTGTGGACTAGGGGGTGTGGTGTGGGACGCCAAGGTTCGAGCTCAACCGTGCATCCACCTTCGCCCTCCTTCTCCACCGGTTTTCTTGATTCTGACTTGACACTGGATCCAGGGGAGATAGTGCGATATATGCTGCGCAAGTTTACTATCACTATAAACTAATTAACGCACAAGCCTCCATATCTGCTCCGCCGTGTTGTAGAGCACACGGTGGACATCTTTGACAACGGCGGTTGTACTGTCGTGATGGGTGATGTTATTTTTGTCATGGGTGATGGCGGGGAAAAGTGTGTTCATGTGCTATAGTCGGAGGTGTTCTACCGCACGCTTTTATGAACGCGTTTGTAATCTGGTAGGACCACGAGGTGGCTGAATGTGTAAGAGCGATGACAGCAGTTGAGGCGAGTGCATCTGGCTATGTGTGTGCTCCAGACACTGGCTCGCCTATCTCTGTGAGATGGATTAGCAAGTGACGGCCAGGGCTTTTGTGTGAGGCGAATGTATGATCGCAATGACAACAGGTTGTGGTCGAGTCCACTTCGCTGGAGATGGGGGTGATGATAATGATAATAGTAGCTGACAGGACGGATGTCGTCTAATCGGCGGAGGTAGAGCGATAGATCGTAGTGTTGGCGGGGCTGGTCGCTGCGATCGCAAAATTGTTGGGGCAGGGCGGTTGATGCCGGAGATCGATGGCCGCGGTCGTGGTCACGGAGTTTGCGGCAGCGGTGATAGCAGGGGTGTTCGTGAGAATATAAGTTGACGTTGCCGGGTTTTCTGATGCATTGTTTCCGAATGTGTCCTACGACGCCGATCCGCGTGCGGAATATGAGTTGGCAGCCTTGGCATGTTGGAAGCGGTTGACTGTCGACATTAAGGACTTACGAGGCTCCTTTCGGTTTTTCGGCGGCTGTCCGGTTTCCCTCGGGCATGGCTTCGCCGCCTACACTTCTTCTCCTCATGCCGGTCTGTTCTCGGTGATGTCCTCCCAGTCCTCTGGGTTGAAGCGCAATCGCTCCAGAGAACTCTTTAAAATGTCCTTGTAGCGTCACTTTTTGTTCTCCCTGTCGACGAGTACCCCTAATTACATCCCCGCAGGAGAGTTGTTTTGATAGACCAGTGTCGTCAATTCTCGCCAGATGGCTGCTCCATCGCAGTTGCAGTTGTTTCAGCATGACGTAGTTACTGAGGATTCCGGTCTGCTCCGGAAAGTCCGTGTCCGGTACCCTGTCCTGCCTTCTCAACCTCCGTGTTCTGAGAGTGCAGCTGATATATAAGTGGTTGGCCTTCCTGGCGTGATTTGCGTAAACAGCCCGGGTTTCCTCCCCACGCAAAACGGCCTTTGGGACGACAACCTTGTACATCTTCAGTTTGGTGTTCAGTTGAAGGACGAGCAACCAACAGAATGCCTGTCTGGCTATGAGCCGCCGATTGGGAACCTCATTGTCTATGTTTATGCTGCGTGAGAGTGTGCTTCTTGCATAGGCGAACGTTTCCACGGTTTGAGGTCAACTGTCGTTGACAGTAATTCGAAAAGTGTTGTATTCAGCTTCCGGTGGCCGTTGACTCATGGCCAATGTTTTGTGTGTATTGATGGTCTGGCCGAATTTTGCATACCCGGCTGCCGAGAGGTCCATGCTTCGTTCCATGTCTTCTTCGGTCGTGATGTCGAGAGCACAGTCGACGGTAAAGAAGCAGGTCGTGGCTGTAGTCGATTTATGGCCTTCATGCGCCTGCTGTTGGGAAGATACCCATCAATTCTGTAGGCGATGTGTAGCCCAGGACGCTCATCGCATTAGGCGTCCATCAGCACCTTGGGCGTGAAGCATTCAGGACAGCCGCATGAGTTTTCACTATCCCTCGTTATTCACTGTGTCGAAGGCTTTCTTCAAGTACCTTTCTTTAGCGCCTTGCGCGTGAAGCCTTCAGGACAACCGCATGTCTGTATGAGTTTTCACTATCCCTCGTGATTCACCGTCTCGAAGGCTTTCTTCAAGTTCAAGAAGGTAGTGTAGAGGTGGGATCGCATCTCCTTAAATTACTGCTGTAGCTGGCGAGCGAGAAGTAACATGTTGGTGGACCCGCTGTGTCGACGGAAGCCACACCGGCTTTCCGGCTGAATTCTTTGCTTGAGGTAACTATTGAGACCGTTGAAGAGGAGGCGACTAAGGATCTTCCCGACGATGTTGAGTAATGAGATGCCTCTGTAGTTATCACTAACTTACCGTTTTTCTTTGCGCCTACAAAGATGGACGATGGTCGCGTCTTTGAAGTCCTATGGGACCTGTCCTTGTCGTTACATCTCCTACAGAAGCGTTGTGAAGTGATATTGCAGTCGATAGTAGTCGTGCTTTAAGTTTCTGGCTGGAACTGCGTCGTAGCCTGGGACGTTTCTGCTGGACAGTATTTGCACTGTGGGGGTGGTTTCTAGAATTGATGGGGGATATCTAGGTCGATGTTGATCTCCACTTAGGGAGCCGGTCGATTACGGCGGCGGAGATTTGGAGGGACGGATAAGGATGCTTCTAAAGTGCTCGGTCCAGCGTTTCAGAGTCAGCGACTTCTCTGTTAGGAGAGTCGATCTATCGGAACTGAGAAGCGACGCGGTTACTTTGGTTGAAGAACCATAGATCGCCTTGATAGCCTCGAGGTAGTTCTTAGTTTCATTGCGATCGACATACCCCTAGATCTCGTCTGTCTTGCGAGTCATCCAGGCGTCCTGCATTTCACGCAGTCGTTGTTGCGCAGGGCGGCCACATTAGAAGAAGACCGCCTTGTTTGCATCGATTGGGCGTCCGAGGTACGATATAGGTAGCCCTGTAATGGCGTTACAGGAGGTATCTATTTCAACCGCGCGTCTCTCGCTAGTGCCTGCACCTACGCACCAACAACAGACTGCTTTGGCACGCAGACCTAGCTGCCTTCGATTTTTCGCTTTAATTCTGTCCGTACCACGCTTTTGATTGATCCTCTGTCGGCACCCTGTGAGGCTTATCAATACCCTCGCGTGGGCTTCGGGCCAATCTACGCAGCCCCTTCGCTGGTTGGCTACACAGGCGGATACAAGAAACCATTGGTGTAAACAACAGATCACGGCGCTTTTGCGGCGGCGACTTACGGCGACACTTTGGACGTCGTTCTGGCGGACGCACACTCGTCCGGCTGCCAGTTATTTTCCATTATTCTGTACAGAATAAATCCCCCTCACTGGCGGCAGATCTTCTCTTCGTATCCGGGACTGGGCCAGAAGATCGTGGTAGGTATGGTCACACTCTATAGCCTTAGCTGCTGTGTTATTTGTGATCCCCCACGTGATATTCACAGGCAACTGTGCAGTCATCCAATTTTCCTTCTTGTCATCAACTTAGTTTTCCTGCGTCATTTAATGTGACCACCATATGGAGAATTCAATTACCGACACTCTGTTGTGGGGCGAGATGGAGGTCATCAGCCGATCTGGGCCCTCCAAATCCTGGTCTTTGTTCCGTCTCGACTCAAAAAAGCAATCCGGCTGTCAGTGCCAGCTCCCATCATCCTCCCCACTAACCAACATCTGATCACTCTCACCAGCGGGAACTTTTCCCTCACAGCAAAACCACCAAAATGGCAGCCTTTTCATTTCGGCTAGAAGGTTTCTGATGGTTTTGTCGTTTTCATCGCGCCCGTCCTTGTTTTGACGACGCGCGCGGCCGAGGACATTTAGGGTAGGGGAATGGACGGCGTCCTGCAGTTTGCACCCTCGAGTCTCTATGGTGACGTTGGTGTCTGGGGCCGCCAAGTCTCCCAGTTGTTGGATCAGTTAATTTCTGAAGTGTAATCTGTGAGCAGGCTAATTTATCAGAAGAGTATTCAACTTACCTGGCGGCTGCTTACCTTGTGGTCTCCTGCAAGGTTGTAAACGATGCCTCATCTTAGAAATGTCGAGAGGTTGGTCTACTCAGCTATCAACGTCGCAGATCGCCTTGGTCACCATCACGTCCTGTCGGTCGCGCCACCGGAAGAGAACGTAGTCTAGTTACCAGTGCCTTGACCGGGGGTGCATCCAGGTAGCCTTCTTCCGCATCGGCAGGCGGAAGAGGGCGCTGGTTAGCGGCAGGCGATTTTCAGCGAAGGTTCGCAGGAGAAGGAGACCATTATAGTTGCAGCCGCGGATCCCGTAAGGGTTCAGCACTCCCTTCCAGGAAACGAAGTTTGCCCCGACGCACGCACTGAAGTCGCCAAGGACAACCAGCTTGTTCGCCTTCGGCACAGACGCTAGAAGGGCGTGCTAATTTTCGTAGAACCTGATCTTCAACTTGTTAAAGCCGGTCATTGGTGAGGCGTAGGCGGAGGTGATGGTGGCGAATTGGCGTCTCGGAAGAGGCAGGCGCAGTCTCATCAGTCGGTCTTTGATGCCCTGCGGCAGACGCGGCAGTTGTCCCACAATGCTCGGGGTGGCAAAAACGACGCCCGTGTATCGTCGTTCTGCCCTGGGACGGACGTCGCAGAAGAACGTGTAACGGGCACTTACCTCCTCCACTTAATCTTGCTCGGAGAAGCAGGTCTCGCTGAGCGCAGCAATGTCCACATGTAACGCGCCGGTTCTCGAACAACTAGCTCCGTCTTCCGTTTCGGTCCGTTGTTCATCGAATTCGCTAAAAGGAAACGAGTATTCCAGGCTGCCAGAATGAACAGACTCTAGCAGGCTGTGGAGTAGAGAAGGGGGAGCGACAGGTGGAAGAAAGAGGTTGTTGTTGGTCTTTGTTGTCTCTCGATCGCAGGTTTTGCATCTGCGAGCCACGGCCAGCATGCAGAAGACGCGATCCTAGCATTTGTTTAAGACACTTTTTCTAACCCTTTCTCCGCGAGGAGGTAAGCAGTGCTGTCCCAAAATAGAACTATTCGGACACAACGCGCGGCCGCCAGTCTCCACTACGGACTATAATTTTGTTCAGTGGAAGAACGACCCGAATTAGTCATGTCCACCTGTGGGATTGCACGTCGACCTCTTCGTAAGAATTTCTGAACTGAGGGTAAGGGAGGACAATGGGGGAATGTAGATAGGGATAAAGAAGGGCGGACGGGAGTGGAGCAGGTTTACCCTTTGTTCTCCTCGTTAAAAGTTTGGTGAAATGTAAACGGTGGGCAGAAATATTCAATAGGACAGTATTTAACTTCCTAGGTAGTCGCTTACCTTGTAGCCTTCTGCGGCGGTTGCATACAAGGCCTCATCTTGGTGATGACAAGGCTGTGTTCCGTCCAGTCAGTGCGAGATGAATGGAGGGGAATAAAGGGAAGGGAGTCGGGATGGGAAGTGAATCAGAGTTACCAGGTGTGGGGACACACACAACACCGGACACCCTTAACTTATATTAGCCCGGTGGTCGAGGCGGTTACCGGGGTGAAGTCGTTAAACGGACCCAAACTTCGAGGAACCACAGCGAGAGTTGGATGCCAGTTAATGGACGTAGGACGTAGCCAACATTCGTAAGCATTGATGCGACCCACTATGAACACCATGTGAACCCAAGACTGGGCGCCTTTACACCCCTCAGAACGACGTTGAGAAGTAAAGTTTGGTAATCACATGACGGCAAGAAAGAGAGAAAAAAGACTTCACTGACAAAGTCGGCGATGTTGAGGCGCTTGCCGAATTTTGATGATTAATTAGTATTTTCTGTTCCACACGCACTATACACACGATTCTAGTCATTTTATATAACCAATTAATGAATTTCACCTATCTAACTCCGCAGCTAAGAAGAGTCTTCGAAGTGTGCTACGATTAAATTCTGAAAATTATTCTCTCATAGCTAAATATGTGGTGCCTACGTGACGGTTATATACGGTGTTCTTAAATATTGTTCAACTTATCTCGCTAGACCGATGTTCTTTCTCTGAAATAATTTTGAGTTTATAGTCCCCGCGGTCAAGAATTTTCTAAAGCTAATGTGCTCGTTTACATTTTGAGCAGATGCTGAGATCAGGGGGACAGTTTTCTGAAAAAGTAAACAAATACCTCTAATTTGACGAATCCTTCACTTTCATGTGAATAATGGAGTGGTTTTGTCCCATAATAGACACCCTATATAAATTATCTGACTTAACCACGTTGCGCCAAATCCTCTTCCAGTAAGGTTTAATCCTGCACCTGCACTTTACAAATGTCATACGGTCAGCCTACTGAATTATGTTAAGTAAGCAAGACTACGTTAAAATAGCGTCAGTGGCACCGTTAAGATTGAGTGCACACTGGCCTAGCCTCTAGGTGACCATGCGGTCAATTTCTTTCCTACCTTAGCGAATGGTTAGGCTACGTACCTCATCGGCTCTACTACTTTCCGATCCCACTTTGGTGAATGCGTACGGCCATGTTACATCATCGGAGGTACTTCAGCGGTGCGCTCCGTGTGTGTTGCCTTTAGGAAGTAGGCAGGTATTCAACAAAATTTTACTGATGAATTACATATACCGGGCAACCGCACACCTAATGACTCCAGTTCCTTCGACAAAAGCTAGGCAGATTTTCATTACTTTCGTCAATGTCAGCCTGCGTTTGTTAACCACCGTACCAGTCTAAATCGGTATGACGATCTATTCTGAAAATAGGAAGTCTGGCATAAATACATCTATTTTAACGCCATCCTAATCGCTCAGATGATTCCATCCCAAACTTCCTTACGGTGTGTCCAGTTCACGTCTTGCTGAGTTCTTCTATTGTGCTCATTCAAGAGCCTGCAAAATATTTTCATAGTCGCAACTTAGTAATATTTGTTCTGTATCGACCGTATCTAAAACCATGCTTACTTGGGTATGCTGGCATACATAAACGCGTATGCATTCGTACGCTGTCGTAATACTTGCAGTGTCATTGGTCTGCGGCACCGGCCCTTACCCTGGATGTAAGTAGTTCGCTTTTTGTAAATCCCGCACTCGGTGAGGCAAATTAATTGTTTACTGCACTTTGGTAAACTCCGCGGGTTTGTCCAACTGCGCTCCCCTTCTGGACCGTTTGTTCACATATGGTATGCAAATGAAATGTTCGAAAATATTTATTCATCACAATTGCGCGCAGTCACTTTTTAAAACCCCTCGGACTGCGCAATTACTTAGCAGTCTCCATCCCGTTCAATAACTGACGTCACGGTTTCATCGGCTACTACTTCATTTTGAGCATCCCCCCTTAAAATTAACAATACCGCAACAAACTTGCGTTATTTCAACTGCGTTACTGCCTCTCATAGCCAGTTCTTCATTTTGTTCTGCATCCTTGTCTTGATCACTCATCATTTTCTTTGAACATTTTGCTGAGCGACCTTGGCAATACGTGCCCACTTCCTATTGGTTGACAGCTTCCCGTTGTATTTGTTACTCATACCATACACTCCAGCGGCTTACACAAACTGTTCTACATACACCTTTTAATTTTTACACTACGCGCGCAAATTTCGCCATTTTTAAATTGCCTTCGTCTGCTCGAATATGACTCCCTTTGCCTTCTGATATATCCGCCTTTAAGTTGGCTGCCCTATGGTCCCACCTGTAAAACCCTATTACATTCGTTCCCGCATTAGAAGTGCCTAGGGTTTCCCCACCTCCAGAAGGGCTGAATGACCTAACCTGGCCTATTTGTCAAGTAGATTAAAGCTAAAATTGAAAACTTTTGACGAACATTAGCATTAGTATCGTCAATTGTATCTCTGCCCAAATTCAGTTTAATTTAAAGAATATTACTTTGGCACACCCCTGTTTATGTCAGTCATTTGTGATTTCGTTGACTCTATAAATATACTTTCGGTGGTCACCGTTGGCCTCGTTCAAATTTTTGACTTCATTTTAACCTGAGAATTTGTTTGCAATGCCAGCACAGGCGACGTCTGAGGTGAACTGTTAATATGCCGCCAGGCTGCCGCTCCAAATTTCTGATGGGCCACTCAACGTAAAATAAACTATCGAAAACTCCCTTAGACAGAGAACATGTAGCGTTTGCCTCAAGAGAATGTTATTTCAAGACTGAGCGTACGGATTTAAAGGCACATTTTACAGCAGCAGGTAAGCAAGTATGTAGTTTGTTGGTAAGGTAGAGTTGCTGATAATACCAGAGTTATCAGAGTATCAAGGGGGACGATGCTAGTTAGATTATTGACAGAGGTCAAAATCATTACTAATGATTTCCTGACCTACACTGAGATGACTATAACTAACGCCAGACCACTCAAATAAAGCTCTGTGCTCATAGACGAGACATACACTTGACGTTTTATCTTGCATTTTCTAAGGCATTTTTGGGATACATAAAGACGACCCTGACTTGCCTGAATCTTGATAAGTGTATAACTATAGTTAGCGCTTACAAGTAGACTGACGCTCCAACCATCACCTGGGAAGTCTATAGATGCAGAAATGCACACAGCTGTAAGACTCCAAAACTGCATAAATGGTTGTACTAATTTAGGGGTCCCACTCAAACGAATGAACTTCTTAAGAACTTGCTGTCTTTCAAAATATTTTGCTTAGCGACCACAATCAAGGATCGTGCATAAGCTATTTAACTGAGACCCGTTCTGCTCTGATGACGGTAAATAGGTCATATTGGTACATATTGCTCATATTCGTACACAAAAGATTTACTAAGCCTTGCGCTTATAGTTTACAATCCTTGTTTTGCTTACGTGGACTTCTCACACAACGCAAAACTAGCTGACACCTCGGATGACACACAGTATTTAGCAAGGTGCACCAAAGTGAAAACTGGCGAAGGAGTCCGAGCTGTAATGTTTTCACATACTGCGCACTTATCTCTGTAAAGAAAGGCAATTGGTTACTGCTTCGGTTAAATTCATCAGGCCCTTACGCTGTAGGCCTGCACTTTGAAAAATGGTCTTTGGGAAAGGCAGAAGACAAAATACAAATGAAAGTGACTTCTGGAGTTTTCACTCAGGTAACTTTATAAACTGTACGGACGGTGAGGCTAGGAATTTAACTGAGGTGTTTTCTGTCTTCAGTGATATCCAACCCATTTAAGTGACTAACTGCGAGGAAAAAACATAGACTATACATGATAAAACAGACTGCATAAACTCTTAGCCATCGTCAGTCTATAAACGTCATTTAGAATTTAGAAGAGCTGTGTCATTTCCCTCTTAGGAAATGTCATCTGATAATGTACAATACTATAGACAGTTTATGGCCTGCATCGGTAAATTTGGTCAATAACGCCGCACTTCTTGGGTGTTTGCGCGCTCTACTAAACTTGAATTTTTCCCTGTTACACTTGGAGTATTTGTCGAATCTGGTTACCCCTTCTCCGCTGGGAAAGGACAAATTTTGAAATACCACTTTAATTCCAATTCACGGCAGCTGAGGTCAGAACTCAAGAAGTTACATGAAAAAAATAAGTATTAAAATACAAAAGGCAAACAGAACTGTAGTCACTTGGAATTGAGTTCCTTCAACTTTGCAGTACGGTCGTGGGCATTGTATCATATTTCGCTCTCATATCATTACAGAAGACAATAAACCTGAAGCCATTCACAAGGCCGGTCGTTGGAAACAATTTTTTCCGTTCGGGTTTTGGTACGAATTTGTGCAAACGTCTAAACTGGCCGGGCCAATTGTAAGTTCAGATCAACTTTGACAATATTTTGATTTTTCATGCTGATTCCCGACTGGAGAGTCCTAATGTTCGGTATTCGGAATTATGTTTCCATCTATAACTTGTGCCTAATTGGTTAAGCTTTACATTATTTAAATGACACAAAGTAAACTGACTATTCTACCTACTCTTTTTCGTAACGGGCAAATAATATGCACTGCCTTAATGAGAAATCAAAAACGCTTTATTATTAAACTAGACTAAAATATAATCGGCGTTTCCTCCAAGCATGGGATTTCAACCATATTTAACTCAATGTGCCCTTGATAGTGACTTTCCTTTTCTTTTGACTTCAATGATATGGTCGGAATCAGTAAAAATAGCACAATGTAAAATATATTAAACTACAATTTATTCCAATTTATCTAATATGAGTGAACTTTTGGAAGCCCCGGTGCTGTAAATCAACAATACTATTTGTACATAATATATACAATTTACAAATTACTTTGAACTTTTATAATTTATGCATTTACCCCACCGGGAAGCGTCGGCAAAAACCGTATTTTGATGAGACAAATTCCAGGGAGGTACCTGAATAATTGATGTCGTACTCCACACACTCGTGCACTCATTCGTGCATTCGTGCTCCACATTCGTGCACTCGGGAGCATTTCATTTTTTCAGTAGGTACACACCTCTGGTGTTTTTCAGTCTTGCAAAATGACAGTTAATAGACTTGGACCGTTGGCAGTATGCATGTTTACTATGCCATTATTGTCTTCATTTTCACTCAAATATATTTTTTAGATGCTAACTGCCTTGGCGATTAATACAATTTGCGTAGTGAGTACACTCTTCTGTGGTCGTCTTGGAAGAGCCGAGCTGGCCGCAACTGGGCTGGCCATTTCGGTATTCAATGTCACAGCGATTGCCATAATACAAGGCCTGGCTACAGCATGCGACACACTTTTCGCTCAGGTGGGTTCTACGCATACTGCCCTTCGGAAAGTCGACGATGCATGGCTATGAAGAAAGGACAATGAGTGAAAAATTATATTGCGATAAGTGTAGCTCCATTTACTTCGGCAAATCACGTATTTTGAGTCTTCGATTATGACTAACCCAGTATCTGTATGAGGGACGGAATAACACGAACTGAACAATTTGGAGAGTTAGAAGGTTCCGGCTGCCTCCTATAGATCGCCAAATACTGGGTTAGTCATAATCGAAGACTCAAAATACGTTATTTGCGGAAGTAAATGGAGCTACACTTATCGCAAAATCTGAGTTCTTAGTTTTGACATCCCTACTCCTGCTTTACTGTTAGCCATAAATTAGATATCTCATTTTCCTTTTCTGATATTCATACTTAAACAATGGATTGGAGGATAAATTTTTAAAACGACCTTTTTATAAATAAGTCCAGTCACGATTTCTTGCAAAAAAGTCGTAAATCGACTATGCTGAATGAGAGGTCCCTATGCAAAGTTAAAATTTTCCTAACTTTTCCAATTGAATTAAGAGGAAACTGGATTTGTGTAGCGGTGTCCACTAAATTACCACCCGATCTCTGTAACCATGACGAATTCCGTGTTATAATACTACTTGCTATATTTCAGTAACATTTTAAACTGAGTTTCTTATTGTCCCCAACCCATCGCATACGCTTACTGACATGCACCTATGCAACTTTTGTCACCGGATATATCATTTATTTCGCTGCACTCGAAACGACCGCTCTACAACTGCTCGTACCACTAACATTCGAGACAGTTTGTTTGTCTGTAGAGATCTGACGCTTTTCCGATTATTTGTTCCTTTTATGATACCTTTTCGAGTTTTTGAGATTTTGCAGTTGCATGTACTCAATAGGGAGTTCAAAGGTGAAGACCTACATTTCCCTCAATAAAATGAACTGAACTGAAACGCTTAAACAATTGAAAGGGCCATTTTACCCTAGGAGACACATATTATATCCCAGTGCTGAATATCAATATGGAAAACGCTAAATGCACTCACATGATCTCACAACCAATGTCTACTAAATTCGTGCTAGGTTCGGCAGTGCTTCAACAAATGGAGCATTATTCAAGCGTTTAGTGGAATGTATCCGCTTCAGTAATTATCTGTTCCGATAGAAAAAAACGTACCTCCGTTTACCCAAGCTATCCAAATAGGTGCATTTTCAGTCTTGATCAAACAGATCATTTTTTACTAAACTGTAAATTAAACATCAAATTCTGATCAAAAAGGGAAAACATCCGTTTGCTTTAAAACTTTTCTCCCAGAAAGTAGTGTTTGCCAATGCCGATTTAGGTTCCTTCAAGGAAGCTGCAAACAGTCAAAATTTGTTCTACGATACTATGCAAATACTGACTTTTTTCAATTTTCATTTCCGTCCCCACATCTGACTAAAGATACAAAAATACCCGCTATCTCAGAATGTTTAAACATATGACGGTCTACAAGATTCGAATTCAGGAACCCTCAATGTTTAAACCTGAAGTGTGGAAAACGCCACTTTTTAAATAGATTGTCCTACGTTCCGTACGATGTGGATGGCGTCAACCAAATGAACATAGGTAGAACCAACAGTGTCCTTCCTTTCATAACTTTAGTAGAATCCGTGGCTTGCTAATAAACTGTGATGTTCTTAGTTACATACATATAAATTTGATTTTAAAGCAGACGCTTGTTTGGCCTTTGTGTGATAAACTTCTCTATGCAAAAAACCCATCGCTCTGCTTTTTATTTTCCGCAAAAGTTCTAGGAAAACTGCTCATATGAAAGCATATTAACACAATTAGATATCTACTATTTCGGTCATAATTTGTCTATGACGGTAAAGCGGTTTGTGAATAGGGCGTACAGCCACGGAACATAGGTTTCTCGAGAGATAAAGACGCGAATTAGTAGGTTTCGCAAAAGTTGTGGTTCAACTGTAGACAAAATAGAGCATTTGCTTTCTAAAGTCTATTATTAATTTGGCATGCGGTTTTTGCTATTGCAGACGTTTGGTGGAACGAAGAAACTGAATATGGGAATTCAACTGCAAAGAGGTATGACCGTCCAAAACCGATATTATTGCGCTGAATCCAATAGTTATATTTAATACATGGATGAAAATCAAATGCTTTATTTCGCACATCGCATACTTTGTTTTTACTTCATATGACGAATTTTTATTGGTACTGAGATAAGTCCAATTGTATTGCCCCACACGCAGGAAATACAAAACATTTACAAATTGTCTTATTATTGTTTGATAGACGTACAAGTTTAAAACATTGCATAATAAAATCTGCCAAAATACATGTGCAAAAGATACGAGAATTTACAGCTTCCGAACTAATTTACACTCGAAAATATTTTATAGAGTAGGCCTCTTTATAATCTCGAGGTAATTTGCCTTTTTTAAAATTGTGCTCTTATTATAGCACTCTTCATTATCACAATCTCATGTTTTCCGTCCCTGGGGCTTCATCTTTGCATTGAGCCGGTTCTCTTGGCCATGCGGCAACACCCGGTAACCTCGAAGTACGTACTTCCAACGTCGGACACCTGATACTACATGACATAATGTCAAAAAGGTCCTCCAAATCAATATATACGCACAGAAATCCGGGACTGAAGAAATATCATCTATTTGCAAAATTTTGAATATAATAAATGCTCATATGAAAGGAGATAATTGGCATAGAGATATAGCCGAAGAGCTTAAAGTAGAATTCTCGACTTTGAGATAAGAGGCACAGGAAAATTTATCAAAAACAGCGCATACTCCTTTTTAGAAGCGTTGGCACGTACTTGTTCTACACATTGCCCGCTGTAGAGGTAGGTTAAAGATCCGTACAATTCCACCACCCCGTTTACAGTTTGCTGCAATTTACACCGTTTTGACGAAGTTTATACAAACCCAGGTAAGAAACATCTGGATATTTCTTCATGTACCGCACGTGCGTGGTTGTTACACTTCATTTTACTATACTAAGATATTTTCACTACGTCCAAGGCAGCTTTTAATTCGTATGATGATTGTCTTACTGTGCTGCAGAATTGTCACAGTCAACGCCTAACTCACCGTTAGTGATAAGAACTCAACAAGATCATTTAAACATTGGGAATTTTGAAGTGCTCAAGTGAGTGCAATCTCAGAAAAATCAAAAATAGAACTACTGTTATTGTTTCTTCGAAACCATAAAATTCGTAATGCACAGAAATTTGTTTTCAACTTTAAGGAGGTTTTTAAGGCCTGCTCTCCTTTGACCTTGCAACTATTACCAAATATGCCGATAATCTTCTCTGCAAATGACGTTCAAATATGTTTTTTTTCATAGAATAAGGTGTTGGCCCCACTTGTGATAGGTTTCCTCGGAAATGGTCTTAATGCTTTACTTCATTACGTACTTCTGTATCATACCCAAATCGGACTGAGGTAAGACCCTCCTGAATAACGGGAATACGACTTGCAGATTTTAATTTTCCCGGTCTACATTTAGAACGTCCTTCCTAAAATTTGCTCACAAAATGTTTTAGGCCAGAATTGACTTGAAGTTCTCCGAGACCGCACAGTTGGCAAACTTATGATGCGCGAGTGACTTTGATATAAATACCTTTTCAGTGTGCTTAAATGCAAACAAATAAAATCACGCGGGATTTTCCGTGTATTCTCTGAACCCTCTTCAAACTGCAGTAAATAAAGCCTGGCTGGCTGAATCATTCAACACGATCTCTGGGGTTAATAAAGATCTATTCGCCAAAAAAATTGTGAGGGAGAGAGGGCACCTGTTTACTATGAAATGTGTATTTACCGTCAGTTAAAATGTCAGACCATGGGTAAGTAACACAGTGTTCGGAAAAAAAATTTATCGCGAGGTTGAATTAATGTGCCCGAAATTTACAAAGTGAATAAGTTTACTCAAAACAAAGTCTATGTTTTGGTTTATTTAGACTTGATTTAATGTGTGTTCGGTAGCGCCATCAAAGGGATATGCACATTTAGAGCAAATTCGAATTATCACTCTGATTAGTGGTCTCTGAACCGAATTTCGGGCATATCATAACGTGCACAGACCCAAACTACTTTTGTTTCAGTCAAAGACACATTCTTGCTAGATAATGGACGTGTGTCTTAGGGAGACCGGCTGCAATAACCTATATGTTATTTCAGGGGGTCCGCGATATCTTTATCAATATGCTTCTTTGTCGAAGCGGCCTTGAGTGCGCTTTACATTTACTTCTCAAAAATTTACAAGGAGACATTTAATGGTGAGACGTTTTTTTATTTAATCTATACTCATTGTCGCATTTTCTGTGTCTTTGCAGGAGTTAGTTTCCATTTTACAAGCTTCACATCACAAACTTTAAAAATGGGTTTAACATGTATTTTCGCCAAACTAAATACTGAAAAATCAGAATGGGTAAATATGTTTGACACTTTTTAACTATTTTCGCTTTTCAAATTTTCTAAAAGTGGTGGTTAGTCAATATTCGATCTTCCTAATAGGACTCGTTGAAGACGTTTCAATACATTTGCTTACGTAAAACAAATTGCGTAAAATGACAGTTATGCAGCATCGTATTGGCATGTATAAGAAATGTAATAATGGACTATTTAACTTGATGGCATGTAAAATACTGTACTGTTTCATGTTTTACAACCGTTTATCAATTTCTTTAGTACTGCAGTATTAGGCATGTGATTGCAAATACTGCTCTTGAAATCCCCCGGTAGCCATATAAGAAAGATTTGCATACTTTTAACAAAGAAGCAGATATTGTAATAGGTAGAGAAGGGTACAGCAAAATTTCTTTTTTAGTTTTTTACAACACAGCACACTCCTATTTTCCGCGATTAAGACCTCTTTAGGCTCCTTTTATGTGAGCATTACTCAATACACCCCTATGGAGATCGAAATTGTAAGATTGTTTTCTGAAAGGAATTCCATAGAGTTTTATTTGCATAATCGCAGGATACAGCCCCGAGATGTGGAAGGATTGGAATAAATGGTACAAACTTGCCATACCCGGACTAATTATGCTTGGATTACAATGGTGGATTTTCGAAATCGGGACAATATGTTCGGGTAGTTATTTAGTTTTTTGCCATATCTCAGAAAATACATTTCAGCAATCCGATAATTCGTTAAGGTATGTTAGTAAACATATCCCCTTGACATATGACGCCGTCCTTCTCCGCTATTTATAATGGTACATCCCTCTTGCGTTTGGACAAAAGTGAATGTGTTTATAGTGAAAGTGAATGTTTATTCGTTGCTCTTGGACAAAGGGTATCCATTAGGCATTTCGAAACGGAAAAATTAATAGGAGTAATTTTGTTGCAGTGGGTGCACTACACACTCACGCAAAACGGGTATCTCACTAACTAAAGAACCGTATATATGCACATTTGTTCAATTTAGATTGCATAAGAAAATACGTTAGTTGTCGCGTAGGAGCATCTACTGTTTATGATAAGGTCTTATTACTCTAGTGAATTCTGGTTCATAAAAATAAAACCACTGACAATAGTCTGCTGGTGATCCATCAAAATATGATTCCGAGTGGACTTAAGATGACGATTTCAAGAGCACTGCAAAGTTCATTGTCTAAATACTAAAGCAGAAGCATCCTCCTATGGACTGTTATTTTACATGATTCACACTCGAACCCATCATCGGCGACATTATCAGATACGTCTCCAATACAACCTCTGGTGAAGAGTTTCAGTCCGTACCCGAAACGTCAGCAATTTCATCACTCCTCTAAATTATTGTCTGGAACCTGCATTTTTGCATATATCGGCAATTGTACGTATTTGTTAATTCATAGGCATTGCTGGTGAAACGGAACTAGCAGCTCAGTCCATTCTCTTTAATCTGGATGCCATCGTTTTTACCTTAGTAAGTCGTCATACATAACTTAAAGATTTCTCTCTAGCATGTTTGCATTAAGAGTGCCTTCAAATGGACCTATGAAGCCCTTATATTTGAGGATTTATCGCTATTGTTTAGGCTGCATGAATTGTCCTGTTTATTTACGAAACATAAATACAAAAAACTTTAGGCAGTTCTACAGAAGCTCAGGTTAGGAACTTCTTATCGGACTGCTACCACCATCAACGTCCAAAGTCGTGTATAGCAAGATGTCATTCAGAACATATTGTTCAATGCGATTCTGTGGGTTTATACTTTTTTTGCATACCATAAATATGAGCAAAGAAAGAACCGTGTGTAATCATAGAATTTGTCGGAAATCTCTGAGATTTATTTTGCTCTTTAAATCTTCCTCCTTAGAAGTTTATTACAAGACGACTGTTTCTGTGTCATGCTTAAAGCAGTCAGAAACCGTAAGGACATCATCCGTTATAAACGCGACAGGATAATTGCATTTTAGACGTAATATTTTGACATTTTGTCAAACTAAGTCGAATTCCAGTTCACCACTTGAAACCTGAGGAAAATCTTACGATACCGAAGATTTACATTACGTTTTGATTTCGCAAAGCAACGCCACATATTACACGTATTAAAACAAGCAGCAACACAAGAAGAATCAAGTCGACGACCAACAGACCATACAGGACACTATTTTTTTATAAAACGGCGAATAAAATTCCCAGCATGTTTTTAACAATAGCTGATGTCGTTTTTGCTTCTTGGCATATGTTCAAGGCTGACACAACTAATTCTGAAGCACTAATCTAAAACATATATTACTCAGTTGCCTCTTGGTTTGGGTGTTGCTGCGAGCATTCGCGTCGGACATTTTCTCGGGGCTGGTAACACAGTCGGGCCAAAATCGACGTCAAATGTCAGTCTTCTGACGATATGTGAGTCCATTATTTAAGCAAATGTGTCATTTTACCCGGTTTCTTATCGAAGGATGTTTAAAAGGACAAACAAGTAATAGACGTAGCTATTGAATAAACCGGTTATATATGTGATTTAAAGCAGCGATGTTGGTTAGCGCGTTTAAGCTGCCAAAAAAACTTCCAGAAGTTATATGTTTGTGATAGCTAGGTTTTTTGGCATATATTTAAAATTTTAATGGTTATTAGGTCTTTAGAGATACCCCGTAAAACTATAATGTAAACCCTACTTTATTGTTCCTGTTTTATTTAAATTTTAAAAGGAAGCTCACATCACGTGGCGTTTGTGTTATCGACTGCAACGCCGGCAAAAAGAATGAATATCTCTCAAATGACATATGCTCTATTGGAAATATCCTAGTTTGTTATCTGCAAAAAACATCCCGCAAACCCTTGTACCCATTTAATGAATTTGATAATAAACGATATTTTGCAATTCAAAATTGAAATGTCTAAAATTGATACTTCAAGACCGCATAAAAAGAAAGTTAGTTTTAAGTAACTGCTAAAACTGTCTGGAATCCTCATACCAGAAACGGTCAAATGTAGGTGAAATGCCCCTTGTTTTCCTTTCTTTCTGAAAGGGGTCATTGGAGCGATCATCATGTCCCTCTTCTTAGTACTTCGGGAGAAGCTGCCGTTGATTTTCACAGACGACAGGCGAGTTAATAGCGGTTCTTAAGTTACTTTAGTGTTTTGCTGCATATATCTGGTCCTCTTTGAATATCCTTACATTTTGTAATATTCGGTCACTG